ATTTCAATATTGTTTCATGAAGATTTTTGAGCTCTTAGCAGTATAAATTTTGATGATACCCAAAGTGATCACTTTCAATAACTTTAACGCGTTAAATCATATAATAAACATGCCTAAAGATTCAAGGGTGTTTCAGTTCAAAGCTTATACCAATATTGGTGTCGTGTAGCTTGCGTTGTACACGAAATCAATATGTCCCGCTTTTTTGCAAATAATGCTTGTAACATTCAATCTGGGACACCAACAAGACCAGATTGGGAAAATTAGCATGCAATGCTTTAACTTGAGCATTACACTTAACCATAAGGAACGACTCAAAATTTCTCATATAAACGAGAATATACAGCTTGTGTTTTTGGATATTCCAGATCATAATGTTATTTATTATCATTTCAATAAGGTCATTTTTGGTCAACGAACAAAACGTTCTATATTTTCATTATACTTAATAGATTTAGTTAAATTGTTTGTATAAGTTTACATAGGGAATCGCATTTTAAAATATTTGGATGAAACAAGTCACCTTTTGATAACCGATTTCTTTCCAAATCTGTTGTTATGGGCAATCGAATGTTCGACGAAGAATACATTTTTAATCCACATTAGCAGAGGATCCACCTAACTGGTACAAGGTGACAAAAAACTTAAGTAAATGCAATAATACGCTGAAATGTGGCACCTTCTGCAGACAGTTTCAATAACATTTAAATTTCTCGTCCTATAACCTTCCCATCTCACATTTCGTGCTAGTGTTCCAAAATATCCTTGTTCATATAAATTAAATCGATATTTTTTATATCTCAAAAGTTAAGTATTTGTGGATTTATAGTTTGAACGAATCAAAATTTCTGGTCACTCTGTATATGCAGCTAGCAAATTTTAATTTATTTAAAGGAATGAAGTGAAAACGAGAAGACCAAATACGAAAAATCCATTCCATAATTCGGCCATTAAACGAAATAAAATACCTCAATGCATCGTTCAATGTTTCACATTTGTCCGCCTTGTTTTCTGCGAGAAAATCAGTAGAATGGCAGAGTGGAATTGACTGAAATTCTCCAGAGTTTTGCAATATTTATTGCGATCCGAAGAAGGTTAAATCGGATGGTTTTTCTGGAAGCGAAAAAATATTTGTAGCCATAAACCCGGCGGCTCAGAGTGGGAACATGTAATAATTTTTGGGTAGGCAAAACTGAGCGTGATGGCACCCTCTATAGGAGAAAATAGGTTTAAATTATTAGCAATATTGCGCGCAATGACATTTTTGTTCGCCCTCAACTTTTTTCTTTGAACCATCGACGATTTATCTGGCTATTTCAGGCGTCCCTCGGCCATTCAATCTTTCGGCAAGGTTTTTTATCACCATTGATGCTGAGGGCTTTTCGTGGGAGGTCCCCTTTAGGGCGCAAAAATAAAGGAAACAAACTAGGAATTACACAGTAGAATCCCATTTTTCCCTTTAGTCCCTACAATCAAATTTTTATGGGCTCGATCTTGGGGATCAATGAAAAAACCATCCGGAGTGTAAAATATATAAAGCATTGCAAGTGTGGGGCGTTAAGTAAAAAGTGGAGTTGTACGATGACCTTAGTGCAATTTTATCACCGTGGAATGTACTAGTTTTATCAGTAGATACTCCCTGAGTACTATTTGAATTAGAATATCGTTTGTTAATGGCCAATATAAATATGCAAAATTTTATGATGGATTCCTCAAAATAAATTATGAAAACCTGAAGAATAAACATAAATTTAACAACTGTTTTCAGGCTCGGATCATTCAGAACATGAGTCCTTTATATTTACTTTAGCAGCCATAATGTATAACGACCTGCTTCAGGGACCTAAACGAAAGGAGTCCACATTTTATTCCCGAGAGTTTATTTCACATCACTTACACTAAAACTGAGGTAGTTTCCACTGCAACAAGCTCTAGTTAATTAAATAGGTGCTTCATATCAATTAGGTATATTTTTATATGTATGTAGTTAATTCTTGCCGCAGCTGGAAAGCTCTCAAAGCGCGCAAGCACTGCAATTTTCATCAAACACGAATTATGATTTATATACTTTTATTTGCAGATTCCAGACAAAAGCGTAGACGGAACCGCGTTTTACAATTCTCAATCCTGATGTTGGCAGGATGAAATAAGCGATATCATTGAAAAGTTATGGCGTGGGACAGCGGTTGGAATTTATCATGTCCAGTTGGTGTCATTTCGTGAAGGTGGAAACAAATTAAGCTCTCCTGGTGATTTACGTTGATGGATTCTTTTTCCGGGTACGTATTTTGATCGTTTCACATAATAAATGCACGCTATAAAGCGGTGTAATAAACACTGTGCTTGTTACAGACGAACTTTTTGTTAAAACCAAAATTTGTAATGCTTATGTGAAATATAGATGCTGGAATCAACATAGAAACGGTCTGAAGGCGAAGTCTTTATTCAGACTATGTAAGTTTTTCAGGAAAAATGACGGCATATTTTTCAGTTTGGAGATTTTTGGAAAAAGGCATTATCAAACCTTGCAAACAAAGTTTTTTCAATTGTAATCTTGAATATTTTCTCTTTTTTTTATAATTTCATCAATTACTTAGTTTAGTTATAATAAAGACAAGAATTTCGTCGGTATCATCCGAACAAGAAGTCATACAAGACAGTGCAAAATTCGAGGTTCGCTTACCTCAGGCACCCCAGGACCGGTTTCGTTTACCTACCTATCTTCATTTTTCGCTCGCATTCACAACCTTATGGACACAGAGCAGAGGCGTGTAGAGGACCTCAAAACAAGTCGAGTTTCCATTTAAGTTTTTGAAGTGATAACTTTTTATGGGAGGGTGAACCGATTTTTTTTCGGCACGGCTCCCACTCCGGCCTCTTCGCGCCTGACGCTTGAGACGCACATATGCACTTTGAATTCGACATTTTTCTCTTAGTGCGGGTGCATCTGTAGATCTGATAAACTTTTCAAATACACATTGTGTTATTAAA